GGGGGGGGGGGGGGGGGGGGGGGGGCATTATGCAGGCGTTACTTGTGGAGACCGTGGAGACTGGGACTAAGAATTATTACGTGATCGAAGCCTCGCATGTTTTGTGAAGAAAGCTTCGGAAAGATTAAATTTAGAGCTTTTCCGAAAAGGTGTCCGTCCAAGAATTCTGTCGCTTGAAAGCGTTGATTACTTTGGAACAAGTGAACACTACTGAGTGGTCGAAAAAAAAAATAGGAATCTTAATTAGCGAAACTGCGATTGTCGGGTGTTGTAAACTTTCATTGTATGCAAATGGGTCTTGTAATGAGCGTGCGATTTATTTTCGGCGATGATTGAAATAACATGTCATGTGAATCACTTTTTCGATCTCTGGCAATGATGTAATTTCCCTGGAATCGAGGCCCCTGAATTTTGGAGTATTTATACACGCGAATAGCCTGCGAAAAGTATCGACGTCCATAAAGTAGGAAGTAAAAAACCTCTAGGGAGTAAATCCTGTTTCATGTAAAATTAATCGCCTCCTCATTTTTCGATCTAATCTCCAAGCAAGCGAGAGTGATGCCGCTGTAAGCGCGTTCTTGTTCGCACAGGCTACACATTGTCACGCCACATATAGCATTTTAAATGTTTTATTTTGTTGTTAAAAACATTGCAGAACATCAAGACTAGCTACAAATAGTATATTTTATTGTCTTTGCTTCGATTTTCGTATATTTACACTAACTAATGTACAGTTGTAATAGTCACGTTGGTAAATCCTTCACTCTTATTTACGTCTCTCTCTAAACCTGCGCTGTAGGAGAGAGAGAGAGAGAGATAAAAAAATCTACAATGTAAAGCTGCTACAAAAATAAAACCTTTAAAGTACGTCAAATTACACTGATTAATTTTTGCTTTCTCTTGAAGCTTTACGGCTTGATGTATATTTTTAATTTCTTGAAAGTCCTCTTATTTCTTGGTGCACAAAAACCGGAGATAGACTGGGGATGGCCCAAGTAAAGAAATATGTGGTAGTCCTGCGTAATGATCTGAACATACCGTACCGCACGTTTAGTACGAATCGGCAGGGTTTTTCAAAATTCTAACGACCCCTACGCAATCTTTTTACAAAAAGGGACGGATATTCCGCAAAATGGGAGCTACATTCTAAAGAAGGTTCTTACCAGGTTTTCGTTGGTCACATTTTGAAATTATTAAAATCAACTTGCCTAGCAATGATTTTTTTACTAAGCCACGAAATCTAGTACGTTCCACGGCCAGATCAGTTTCTGACAAGGCCAAAGATGCAATATATGCACTCGGCCACGCCCTTGAGTAGTAATGCGATGTACATTTTTACGTGGCTTATCACACGTAACTTTGCATTTGGTAGTTTTTGTTCTTGTCGTCGTCTTTTGGCGTTCCTTGAAGTTTGATTTCTTCGTGTCCTTTCTTTGCGGTACTAAACGTTAGAGACGCCCACCGAGTATCGCCGGGTTTGACTGGTTTGTTAGCCGCTTGTTTTTCCAGTTTTTGACCCGGTTTGGGTGAGACACTAGCACTCCCCTTTGGTTTCGATTTAGAGCTCTTCGCTCTTTTAGATTCTGATTTGTGGGGAGGCTTTCTGAAGAAAGATTTCCTGCTTTCCCCCTCATCATCGCTACTTGAGAGTGGCGAGAACGAACGCTGTTCGGGGTGCCCTTCAACAGGCGAGAAAACTTTACTTGGCTCACGGTCAACTTCCATGTTGCTGTCATACAAGTCACTATCTTCGCTCATAACGTATATTGGTGCCCGTGGCGAGATATTTCCATCATATCGACTCATATCTGGTTTCTCTTTCTCTGGGCTTGACAGCGATGAACTGTCGATTTTCTCCGAGCTTCCAACGATCCTGTTGAGATCACTCGGCTGGCTAGCGATTGGAGGAAGTCGAATTGAAGCAAGACTTGGATTTGGACTTCGATCCGTATGCGCATGGTCAACTGGTGAAAGTCGCTGCCTTGAGTTAGTGCTTGCGCGCATTGGATAACCTGTGTGTTCAATAGAACTTAAACTGCTATTAGAGTCATTATTCTTGGGGTTCACAA